TGTTGAATGATTTTCAAGAATTGATTTGATCAAAAGTTTTTTCAAACAAAATGATTTGATAATAATAAATAAGATGAGAAATCAATGTTATTTTGCTAAAAAAAAAATCACTTTAATGCACTCAAGTTCTTGTGATAAAGGGAGTGAATTAGTATTTATAGAAGTCAAAATCGTGAAATTCGCAGTCCAACCGGGCGTCCGCCACTATACGAGACGGTTGAACTAGCCGTTGGGCGTTAGAAATCAGAATGGTCAAAAATTTGTCCGTTGAGCTACCGGACGTCCGCCAAAACCAAAAATCTTTGATTTTCTCTTTTCTTGATTATTTTGCAAATGTAAATCATTTATGAACTTTTTTACTTAACTCTTTCAAATTAAGTGTCATTGAAAAGGAGTGCAAAAATCAAATGAAGGTTTTTGTCACATCAAAAATAATTTTTATGTGCGTGTTTTTGTGCAAAATTTATTTAGTGCATAAAAGATTTAACTTACGAGCTTGTAGTGATTCATTGCTGTAAATTAAAGTGTTTAACTTTTACATATGAATTTGAACCATGTAAGTCTAATATCTTGGATAGATTTGGCGCGAGTGTATGTTTTGTTGCTCGATTTTGAATTTGGTGTGAATATTTGATTTGTCTTCAATTGTTCCTTATGCAAGTGCTTGATTTCCAAGTTCGAGTGCGATTGTTCGATTTTCACCCGGTTCATAACATGTATCATTGAAGACGTAAATAAAAATGTTAGAGATAATAATAATTTGTTTGTTATAATCAAAACTCGAAGTCAACCATAGGCCAACAGTTATTTGAGGCATTATAACATAATTACTAGAAACTAATGTCTCAAATAATAAGTTATCACATAAGATAGTAATTGCTAACTATGAATATCATTAAAAATAAGGCAGGGAAAGCATACGAGGTTATTAGAACTCGGTCAAATGAATGGGGTGTCGTCAAGACGTCAACAGAGATTTTAATGAATTTTAAAAATCCTTATAAATTCAAGTATCCCCAAATTGAAATTTTAATGAAATCCAATAAAATTTATGCATCTTTTTTTGGGTGTTTCCGATTTGGGTTGGGTGCAGTGGTGGTTTTGCGGCGATCTTCTGCGGTTTAGTGGTAGTTGTAGTGGTGCTGTGCTGCGATTTGGTGGTTTGTGGTGTTCTACTGCAGTGATGGTTTTGGTTTCAAGCGGCGACGACAATGGTTGTAGTCGACGACAATTTTTCTTGATTTTATGTCGCGACAATGCAATGGTGGTTTTGGTTTCAGGGGCGACGACAGTGGTTGGTGTAAGCGATGGTGATGGTGGTGGTGGTGGTGGTGGTGACAAAGAAAAACGAACACACTCAAAACGCGTTTTAAAAATTTTGGCTTGATTTTAATTGAAAACACCGAAAACGACAAATTTGTCGTTTTGGGTTTCTTTTTTTTTTTTTTTTGGTAAATTTTAAACTTGTTTTCAAAAAAAAAAAAAAACGTTTTCGAAAATAGGAAAGAAAACACGTTTTCACTGTTTTGAAAAAATCAAAAACTGAAAACAGACTTGAAAACGACAAAGTCAACATGCCCTTAAATTATTTAGGCCGAATGCCAAAACCATAAAGCTCATGATTTCATTGTCTGGTGTCTCTTCTGCTTGCTATTAGTCTGCTGAGATTTACTAACACTGAAAGAAATCACTGGTAAAATAAAAAATTCTCCCGTAAAAAGCCGACTGGTAGTAATCTAATCCACTGATCAATTGGAGGCATTTTACGTATAGAATTGTAGACCAAACTTGCATCATGCTACAGAATACAAAAAACAGAGAAATTTGCAATGCAGTGAAAGGGGAAGAAAATGGTCTCTGTCCAACATACATTATCTAAACATGTTCACTTTTTCTTATTCGGGAAGAATCATATCAAGTAAAAAAATAAGCATTAATTGAAGAATTTTCAGAAAACAAATTGGCATATAATGTCATTAACATATTTTCCGCCGATCGAGAAAGAGTGTGCTGTCCAAAATGCAAAGGAACGCGAGCGCTAGCTCTCAATTTTACACGTATCGGGTTAATTTTGTTTTACTATCAAATTTCCAAGCATAGACCACATAGGCAGTAGTATTCGAAAACTTGCGAGAGAGAGGTAGCTGAAAGTGTTATTTACGGCGAACACAAGTTGCCAAAGGATATGAGGATCAAGAGGGTGTCACACCAAATCAATTACATGAACAATGCACAAAATATCGACAGATCAACTATGTAGAGCCTCACCAGCAACTATAAATAAGAGGATGTCATGGAAGAAACTCATTATCAGTAATCGACTGCCCTAACTTTGAAATTGACTTTCTAATTTTCCATCTTCATAGTAGCCTGCTGAGTGACTTAATAAGCAATTTCAAATTCCGCCTCGTAGCTTCATCACCAGTAAATCCTAATATATCTGAACTTATACTCTGCAAATGTTGAGTGACATCAAGAGGAAACAATTACCAGCAGCTATTAGAATAGAGAAAGAGGATAAATGAGTAAAGAAAGTGAAGAATCAGAATTGAAGCAATGCGCAACTCACCTCAATGTTCTTCAAAGTGAAAATGAGGGTATATATAGACTTCTGAATTAATTCTGTGTTCTCAGGAGTCATAATGGAAGAATGCACCCTTCTGTAAAATTTTACATATAAAACCGTGTGAGCTAATTGCCATATAACAGATGCTTGTAAGACCACATGGCCATACCATACAGATAGAGAGAGAAAAACATGTAAAATCAATCCAAAGTACATTAGTTCTGCCTGATTAAATTTGGAAGTCTATTTTTTGTCATCTACATAGTAGGGACAAGTTTACTGTGTTAGAAAACTAGACAAAACCAAATAACTTATCCATAATTATCAGCAAACTTCAAGCTGACCAGTGCATGCATCCAATGAACATCAGTGACACCTTTTTAGTCACTGGGCCATGCGAGACACATCCACAAACTAAAAGCTTGGTTTATTCAGTAGAACGGAAGAATTAAAAAATTATGAAGACGCTTCAAAAATCAGAAATATTTTATTACTACATTTTGAGTATGTTTCAACTTCCACATGATTTCAGAAACTATGCAGAACTGGTCCAAGATTCAATATATGTTTGATCACAAAAACACATACACATGCAAACATGAAGCGATTGAATGGGAGAAGACAAAGCACCAAAAACCTTGAATTAATTCCCTGAGACCATTGGAGTACTCTACCTCAAATCCTCAGAAGCCTGCGTAAGGCTTTTAGTTAAATTTTCAACTTCCTTCAGCAAACCACTACCATGAACTTCTGCCAGTAAAGGTTGAATATCTTCAGCCATGGCTTTGATCTGAGACATCACTACATCAAGAACAGAATTTTGCTTGATAATATATTATCTTTTGTGGCAATTATATCAAACAAGGAAGGAAGAAGAACATGTATGCCAAATGACCATACTACGCAGGGTTATTTTCCATTTGTTGCACTCTAATTTGCAACCAGTCTCTTCGGAAAAGCAGGATATACAGCACTAACAACATTTCACTAAAACTTAATAGTCACCAATAGAACAACTGACCAGCCTCGCAGCCAAATCAGAGCAGTTCCATTTTTAGGATAAGGCAAGACCTGAGACTGCTATAACATGTAAATAGTAAACGAAGTCAGAGTTCCAAATAAACCTGCCACCTCAATATCTTTTGTGTGAGATTGATACTATATCTTAATGTTTTGGCAAAATATTAAATACGCAAATCAGATTTCGGTCAGAGTCTTAAAAATTAGTGCCCAGGGAAAATGCCATTTATTTACAAATTAAATGAGATAGCTCACTGAAAGTGATTTAACCAAGTAAAATGAATCCAAGCTTTCATATATAAATGTGTTCTCACACTGAGAACAATTAAGTTTTGTATCATTCTTAGTATTAGATGAGCAGAGTGGGCTGGGTCGGGTAGCTCCTTCCACACAGGCATGGTCCGGGAAAAATCACAGGTTGTGAGTCGAGGCTAACTATGCTATTCCTGCAATCCCTATGAGCCTTTTGATGGGGGTGGGGGTAGCATAGGATTTGGGCTTACATTTTAGAAATAAGATTCTTTTGGCTTATGAATACCCAATTCCGTCACTTTAATTTTTCACCACTCTCCCACTCTCAGTGGCACATTTCTTTCACTTCTATAATATTTTTGCAAATCTTTTATGATGCTACTTATTACTAATGCGTGTTAGGGTTTATTAGCTTACATCATAGATTGCTAGTTTTGCATTGACTTTAGTGTCAAGTAAAATATTTACTGAAATTTCAAAAAATTATTGCAATGAATTTAAATATTACACATGAACATAACATGTATATGAGTAATGTTATTCTGATAATCACCTATATAGGTAGCAGTTGGTCCCCTAATCACAAGTAATGATGAATAGCATTAAATGTATACTAATTATGTTATCGAAAATGGTAATTCTGAAATTGAAATTTATCTCAAGTATTTCCAAAGGAAAATTTTCTTTGTAGTCTATAAGACAGTAATTGCTAGTAAAAGAAAGTAGAAATCTAGTTCAAGTTCCACATCTAACACTAATTTTATACCTGCTTAGTTATATAGATATCCTGAAACTGATTATACTAGGTACTAACCGAAAAAAAAAATAGAGGATTTAAAAGTTTAATTTGGCGGAACCAGGACTTTTTACTATGGGAATATACCAAGTGTTCAACTAACACCAACAGTTTCAACAGTCAAATCAATGTGTACTTTTATTGCAGGAAACAAAGTGATCAAACCAACTGACATCAGAAATTTTAGAATGCCTCATGTGCTCGAAGGCTTGAAAAGATACAAAGATCATAGGATAGAGAGCTTGATTTCAGAAAGAAATTGTTGAAATGGAAGATGATGTATCATTAATGAACCTATGTGAATTGTAAAGTTGTATCTTCTAAAATGATAGATATTTAGTATATGTCAATCTAGAATTATTCTAATTTATTATTACGTGTTTACTTAAATTTCATTTCATTTCCTAGACAAAAAATGTAAACATAAATCTAAAATTGAGATCAACAAAACAAAAAATTATTTTTAAAACACTTTTTAATTTTGTTGGGCCAAGTGGGTTGGGCTGGCATGGCCTAGCATTGGCTGAGCAGGTGGACGGTGCTGAGCAATGGAAACCCATCATGATAAATTTGGCTTGGCACACATGGATGTTGGGCCATGCCACAGACCGACAGCCAGAACGTGGGTTGTCAGGGTGCGGCCTGCTTATACCCCTACTCCTAACACTAAGCTACGATAATCGCACAAAAGAAAATGACAATCTTGGGAGGAACAAAGAATGGAGAATTCTAGTATCACTTGAGGGGTATGGCAAGCTTCCCATTTAAGATTATTCTTTTTCTTAGTTGAGTTCCCTATACAACTAGAAGTAAGTAAGGCCTAAACCCTGAAAACCAATGACATATGGCATCCAGATAGAGACATATAAAATCAAGATCATAAGCTAATGGAGGACCAAAATATGGATCTAACAATTTAACTGAAACTCCTATGCCCAAGAATGTAACTTTATCATAAATGATGCTTTAATTAATATTAAATTGATTATCATGAATCAAAAGCCTGAAATGTTGATACAAAGAGATATTATAAGTATATGACATATATTTGAAAGAGATTAAATTAATATGCTTTCCATGTTCTCTTTTTGTTTGTTTGAAACAATTTTTTCATCAAGGTTTCCATAACCGTGTATCACGTTATTTATACATGTTCCTTAGGAATTTGTGAATCTTTCCAAGTAACCTAGAATGGTATAAAGATGTTGGGATTTAAAGATAGTTAACGATGAAAACAAAATTAAATTTATACTGGTAACATTCAGTCAGCACAACTAAAAACAAACCCATGAGAGATAGCGATAACTAAACAGAAAATATAAAATATGCACATCAAACCTTTATAAGCAAAGGCCGTGCTTCTTCGACAACAGAGGAAACTCGTTCAGCCAATGAATAGGTATTTGCAACGCCAATTTCTTCCATTTCACGCCCAATGCGAGTAAATATTCCAACTAATTCATCTAAACTAACCCCTTGGTATCCCTTTATCTTCTGTTTATCACACACAATCAAACCTTCTTTAACACAGTCTGCATCAAGAGGGCTGGCTGAAGGTGTCGGAATAGGATGACGCGGTGTAATATCAATCATAGTTTCCATGAGAAGACCTGACTGGTTCACCTCAATCAATGAATTTCGAGGTATTATACTTTTATCATCTTCAACCTACAAACACCAACATCAAGGACTGTAAAACCACATTGTCATGAAAAAATGAAATCATGGGCTTCAGTTTTGCCTCACCTCAACTACTGCCTCAATACTCTTCAGGGAAGGATTGACACGTATGACATTGCCAACAGTTACACCTCTAATCCTAACAGGCGTACCGGTGCACATACCACTAGCCTGATCAAATTCAAACACGGCTAAATATTTCCGGAACTTTGATCGCAACTGAAATCCCCTCAACCATGCTAAGCTAAGTGCCAAGAGGACTGTCCCTGAAACAAGAAACAACCCAACACCACCTTCCCAAATGCTCCTCCTACCAAACCCAAAATCGCTCAAAGGCCTCAGAGTTTGCCTCCAAATGATTAGAGGAACATCAAAAAATACTGACAGAGGACTCTTTGATTTGGAAGATGTGGGTTGCTGTTGAGTATAACCCGTATCAGCGGATGACGTGGCTTTTACCCATAAGACTTTCCTTTTATGTCCTAATGGGGTTTTCAGGCATGGTGAAAATTTCAAAGAACACTGTTGCTTAGTGGGTATGATCAAATATGAAGGAAATACAGTAGCAGTGGAGGAAATATGAATCGGTGGATATCCAACCATTTTCCTTTTACAGCAGTATTGGAAAGTTGTAGATATGTATGGATACACCACAATTGTCAGCTGGAATCGGATTTCCAATTTGCCAGCAGTTGTAAAGATAAATAGGGAATAATACGCACGGAACCCTAGAAGTGAGAACCTATGCAATCAATTGAACAATAACAATCAAAGGAGTAGAAGAAGAAATTATCAATTTTACTTACAGAAAACACATATATTAAATGAAATTTTTAGGATAATACCGTTTTACTTTTGATAAAAGGAAACCCTACTTGTGAGCTCCGAGAGAGGCAGGGAAGAGGAGAGTCAATGAGTGCATGAGTTGGGCTGCTCACTTCATTGGATCTTGAGTCTGCCCTAAACCCAAATTTGCCCAAGTTTTCATTCCCTAGTCTGAGAAGAAAAATAGTTGACTAATCTATTCTTAACTATAATGAGGCTCGAATGCCAGTGTAAACGTTCGGATACAAATAGCAAAACTCTAATACGAGCTTGTTTGGAAAAGATTTTAATTCAATTAAAATTAAAAATATAGTCGTTATTGAATCTCACTCGTCTAATAAAAGTCAACAATAACTGCTAGTTTTTCAATTTTAATTTTTACCACATTAAAGCACTTATGTTCCTAACGAATTTTTATGTCATTCTTATTTTCAAACTTTTCATTAGTTAATAGATTTTGTATTTAATACCTGTATTATGCACAAAAATTCGTTGAGATAACGTAAAACAACTTATTTTTATCATATTTTTAAAAAATAAATAAATAAAAAGTGCCAAAAAATATTTTTAGGGCAATTGCATGTAGAAAAATACTCTAAGGGTCCGTTTGATTGTAAAAATGGAATTTGAGTGGAAAGAAAATGAATTTTATGGAATTGAATTTCCTATAACTTGTTTTACTGAGAATTGTCAATTAATTGTGTTTGATTAGTATAATTTTTCACTTGAAAAATATTGAAATTTTGAATATTTTAGTGTTCGTTTGGTTTTATTTTCTATAAAAATTGTCAATTAAATTAATATAAGTTGTTACAATTGAGGAATTGACTTACCTCAAAAACCTATCTAGAAAACCAATTTCCACCAAAGTGATGGGAATTGATTTACCTTAAAAAGTAAGAAAATGTGGCTAGTTAAGAAAAGGTAGAAAACTAATTGTTTGGAAAATGCTTCCTATCAAACACTCTAAAATAAAAAGTGAAAAATGGAAAAATGTTTTCCATCTTCCATGGAAAACTTGCCCTATCAAACAAGATCTAAGGGTCTGTTTGATTGCAAGGGTAGAAAATGGATGGAAAGAAAATGAATTTCAGGGAAAGTAATTGCTTAAAAATTATTTTGTAGGGAATTGTTAATTTAGTGTGTTTGATTGGTATAACTTTTCACCCGAAAAATTTTTAAATTTTGTGTTCGTTTGACTTTGTTTTACATGGAAATTGTCCAATAAAGTGATATTTTTTCACAATTGGTTATAAAATTTGTTTCCGTTGTCAAAAAAGTAAAAAAAAATGAAAAAAAAAATTCCTTAAAAAATCATTTTTTATCAAAGTTTAGTGTTCGTTTGACTTTTTTTACATGAAAATTAACCATTAAAGTGAAATTTTTTTTTACAACTAGTTATGAAATTTGTTTTCATTACAAAAACATAAAAAAAACAAAGACATAGAAACCATTTTCCCACCTAAATAGTGGGAAAAAGAATTCAAGGAAAAACTAGAAATTGACACCATGTGAGAGAAAGTGGTAATTCCAATTGTCAAGAAAAAAATGCTATCAAATATCAAAAAACATGGAAAATAGAAAACTTTTTCCATTTTTCATGGAAAATCAACCCTATCAAACACACTCTAAGTGTGTTGCTTATGTCTTCGTAAATCTCGTGTGCCTGATTTCGAGTGATTATATTTAACAATAAAAATAAAATCCAACCTTATTCTTTTAACATACCTCCACCCCAGGGACTTTCAGATCACACACAACCATCCCAAAGGGTAAATTAATACATAGTAACTAAATCTTTAATATATTAGCATAATCTATGCCCCAAAACCATTAAACTTGATCCCTTCATTGCTATTTTTGAAGGTTAACTCCAGTTCAAATGACTCGTTTAAGTATCATATTAATCACTTCAAACACTCCCAATGAGTTGACCCTGGATTATACATATAAATACTAACTAATGGGTTCAGTATCACAAAATCATTGTTTGCAATTTCATTTAATAGATATTGATTTCAATCAGAATCATCAATAGTGATAATGTCGACAATCATGACTCTCAATGATTATTTACTCATTATTTAAATACAGGCATATTGGTTATTTTTGTTTACCTTCTTAAGGCCATTTGTGGACGAACAAGAAGGAAGTCTACACTGCATAATCAAGATTTTTGTTACCCACGTTGATTTTCTATGCAATTAATATTTTTTGTATTTTTTTTTTTTATTTTACTCAAATAATAATGGACTTATACATGATTACATGATATACTATAAAGATTTGTTGAGCGTTCAACTATAACTAATTGTTCAATATAAGTACAACATGTTGAGGATATGGACCGCACCTTATAACATCTTTAATTCACAATTCATTTATTATATCGTACTGAACATAAACACGATAACTGATAAGTAAGATTTTAACTTATTTCTATTTAGTAATGTCTAGATTAACATGCCAAACATGTCATACGATATACAATTATTTCATTGAATCAAGAAGATGCATGTCAAAACAATCGATGTGGCTTCTAGACCACTGTTAAGCTATATTCCTACTATAATTTTAATAAAATAAAGCCTTCTGGTTTACAATACTAATGCCAAAAGTACTTCGTGAGAAAAAGGGAAAAACAAAAACAAAAAACCTACGAAATTGGATTAATGTTATCTCTACAAATTAAAAAAGAAAAACAGCAATCCCAGAATAAATAAAACCAAACATCAATCTTGTTATATTAATACAGTTTGAAATTTGCAGCAAGAAATTGGATCAGAAACTTATATTAACCCAAGAAACTAATACAGTAATTTGAAATTATTTTTGTTACATCAATCAATTCTTGTACCAAGAAGAACCCTAATTATATCTTTCTAAAGATAATACAAAAAATTAATACAGAAGATAATCAATCAAACAAACGAGGAATCTGCTTTCTTGTTCATACTCATCATCAATTCCTCCAATGCCGCCTTGTACCGTTCAAGTTCTTCCAGTTCAAGTCCGTCCACCTCCTTGTCCCACCAGAACAGGCCACCGTCATTCATCCTGTTCTCCGCCTCCAACTCCTTACAAATCCCAGAGTAATCCTTGCTATGATCCGGTGTTTTTCCAGAGTTTACCACAGAATCAACAGGACTTCCGTTCTCAAAACGATTGATTACGGAATCCACGGTGTTGTGCCCAAAAGAATAGACACGTTTGCCGGCTACCGATTGTACGATAAAAGCGATTTCAGCGCCCGTCAGAACACAGAGTTCTCTCGCTTTCTTGAAAAGTCCGACTCGGCGTTTGGAAAAAGTCACTTGCCTGTTGCTCAACTTTTCTATTTTCTTCATTGCAATCTTCCTTTTACCCTGCGTTTTCTTCTTCATCGCGGCATCACTTTCGTTCTTCATCGCCATCTCAGAGACAGCCTGAGAAACACTGCTTTATTCAACGGATATTTATAGTAGTTAGTAAAGAGATCGAGAGAGAATTAGAGAGATTCTGAAAGACAAGGTGAGGTGATGGGTTATAGGGTTTCGGCAAGGGTTGACCGTTGACTGAAGAATGCATTTCAAATTAAATCCCTAACTAGTGCGGGTTTTCATTGGTATGCTTTATTATGTAAAAACACCGGATCATAGCAAGGATGCCATAATGGTGTCTATAATCCTTGAATAACCCTTAATTATGGATTTTAGAACAACTGAATATTGTGTGTGCTTTATTTTTTAATTATATATGAAAATTTATTTATGAACTTTAACATTATTTTGTTTGGGCAGTGCTTGAAGTACTTCACAGGCTCCTGCCAGGCCACACACATCCGGAGGAGAGCCTCTTTTTTTTTTCTTTTAATACACAGGTGGGGTCGGCTGCACAGTGAGAGGCCTGTAAGGCCCCTGTGAAATGAGCCCCTGGGGAATAATCCATTTTGTTTTTTATGGTTGAATATTGCTTACGTGCAAATCAAGCGAGATTCGATGAATTATATAAGCTTATGGCCAACAAAATGCATGCATTCCAATGGCCGTGGGACCATCGTCGCCCAACACTTCAAATCTAGATACCCTAAATTTAGAAGTATTTTCATTTGAATAATGCTACTCAAACAGGATTTAGAAACAGGGTGGTGACAGGTGTTGCATGCGTGGGTACTTTTTTTTTTTTTTCAATATGTCAAATGATATTGCGCTACGTGTTCCCTTGTTTTTAAACTCTTTCGTTAAGTCTGTTTGTGTAGCATGATTTTTTTCATTTAGTTCTCTTCAAATCATAAATGCAGAGAAACGATTAATATTTTTTTAAAACTAATAAAGATTTATGACTTTCATTTATGAAAAAAAATTAAATGCATAAGAAATTTAAATTTAGTAACTGTTTGGAGAATATTAAAATTTTTTAGTAGATTTTGATAAAATGTGATGAAATTTGTGGTTGAAAAAATTGTGGATCTCATGAAATGTATGGTTAAAATGAATTGTTAACTTTGACTTGTATTAAAACATTGATTTTAATTTCTACCAAACAGGGATTAAATGTTTTTATTTCAAAACGAAGTTAATATTTGAATGTGTTAATACTAAGTCTGCCTCACCATATGTAGTTGTTTCTAATCATCTTCCATTCATCATTTGAAAAATGGGAAGGAATAACATAGAATGAGCTAACGTCCAGTAAACAAAAATCATGTATATGATGTATGCTTATGATATACATAAGCATTACTTTAAATAAACAAATTTTCCAAATATGTATCACATTTTCTTTCATTTTTTTAAAACATCTGACATTAACATTGTGAGCTCACTTAGTGTATCATCTAGCCAACCATAATGCAATTGATCAATATTATTTGGAATATATTAAATCTATCGATAGTCTCGCAAAACAGTTAACTTTAAACATTCAATATTCAATATTGGTCGTATGGCAAGTATCCCACGTCCCATTACCTACTCAAACATTTCATGGCATTGACATATACCTCTTTAAAAACACATTCGAGATACATATATTTTTAAAATATTCGTTGTCACAAAATAATACATTTAAAATCTTTTTATTTCATGAAACACCATGCATACTATATGGATGCATTGACATGTATAAATATGTCAATGAGAAAAATTAATGACATAAAACACAAAAACTAAATATCATCTTCACCTAAAATCAACCTAGGTACCATATATAACGTATGCGTGAAGAAAATGGGATGTTTACTTACCTTGAGTTCTCAGCAATTCACTTATTAAATAGCAAGTGGAGATATTCCTAACTTTCCATGGTCAACATTCCAAAAGTCCTAAATCATTCACTACTTATTAAAAACTTCAACTTACTTATTTTTGCAACTTTTTTTTATCGTTACGAAAAGTCTCACTTTTTACAACATTTTTTAAACATTGTTAAACGTTAACTTTCACAACGTTTATTAAACGTTGCGAAAAGAGAAGCCCGTTATTTAGCCCAATGAACGTTAGCCCTAATCTCGTCTCCGCCTTTCTTTTCTCACTCTTTCATTCAAATCCACAATTTTCTTCTACTACCACGAAGGCAGTCACCGACGAGAGAGGCATCCACGTGTTGCAGGGAGTTAGGCGGTGAGGAGGAGATGGAAGGAGAACTGAGTGTTGCTCTCGACAGTGATTACGATTATGATGCTGCAAGGAATACCTCCGCGGAGGAGGCGATCGGGAAGGGGGCAGTTAAGGGTGAAACTTTCAATTACTCTGATTTCCTCTTCCCTAAATCCAAGTCAAAACCCGTAAGTACAACCCCATCTTTCTCTTCCACATCGACGTTGGCCCGGGAAATCGTGGGTGAAAGTACGAAATCGCTACTTGCTTATCTTCAAGTCGAAAACTTGATTGCTCTGTGTGGATGAAATTTATAGTCTTGCCCTCTCTATTTGGAGTTTCTTAATTTTGTGGGGTGGGGGTTGTTTCGTTAATCTAAGGCGTATGTCTGACGAAGCTTTTAAGCATAGGATAGACAACTTTTACCTACTTTCATGGGCGGACCTAGGGGGGTTCGGGGGGCACGTGCCCCCCAACTTTTGAGATTTTTTTTTTTTTTGTAATTATAAAATCACGTTTGGTATCGATTAAAATTTTAATTTTAATACAAATCAAAGTTAACAATTAACTTTAATAACATATTTCATGAAATCCATAACTATTTAATTTTTATCAAAATTTACTAAAAATATGATTTTAATCTCCACCAAACGAGGATAAAATCAAAATAAATTTGAATTTCGGAATATACTAATTTTAAAAATTCTCCGACGATCGTACGCTAATCGAATATACGAATTGCTTATATCATTTCGAAACTTATTTCAAGAACTACATTACGAACATATCGAATAGTTCAAACATATATCAAAAATAGTTAAAAATACGTTAAACGTGAGCCTTTAAAAAGACGTCTAACTCGCATTTAAAAAAATTAATTATTTCATTAATATTTATTATTTTTGCGATACAAATTTCTAAATGTAATTTTCATCATTTAATTAGGAAATTTTCAAAAAATTTCGAAATTTTACATCTGAAAAAGTTATATCCCATGTAAATTTTTGGATGTAAAATAACATGAGGTATGATTTTTTTAGACATAAATTTTCGTTGTAAAATTTCTCCCAACTTCTTTACAAGTTCGATTGTGCCCCCCCAATGTTAAAGTTTTGCGTCCGCCCCTACCTACTTTTAAATCATGCGTTCTTTAGGACCCACCGCTTATAATCGCTTGAAAGCTTAGCCAAACAAGCACTACATTTGGAGTTTTCTTTGTTCTTTTGAAATTTTGGTTTTGCAGTTACTGCTGTAGAAAGTGGGAGGAAGTCTCTGCAGTATTTGGGATTGGATGGAGAAAAAAGCTCTGTTGATTTTGATGTAAGTAAAAACTGGATTTTCCTGCTATAATTTTTGAGAAGATGAAGTCTTGGCTCCATTTCATTTATTTAAATTTTGTGATTCAGAATCGATTTTTCTAATGTAGTTGTAAGTATTTGGGGTTTTTTTTTTTTTGTTGATAATCTTTAATGTTCGAATTTAGGGATTGAAGGTGATCTGATTATGAGATAGACTATTCAATGCCAGGGATGACAGGATTTGAACTTCTCAAAAAGATTAAGGTTAGTGATTTTGGTATTTTTATTTCAAAAAGGTTACTGTTTTAACCCAAAATGTGATAGTTAATCTATGGCAGTCCAAGTAAGAATGAACCAATTTTGTATCTTGTGATTGGTTCTACATGAAAGATATGATACCATGAAGCACTAATGATGCAACTTTGGATTAGGAAAAAGATTTTGAACTCGAGTTACTAATATGGAAAATGGAATGCGGTGAAGTTTTGGTGATTGATTGTGGTGTGATATTTGCCATGATGGCAGCTTCCTTTTTGCTCTTGTCGAGGTGCATCCTTCTTCACTTAAATTTATAAATCAAATCTTGAAATCTCATTAACTAATTCAGCGTTTTTTTTGATCTCATTGTGCTGACAGTCAACTTGAGCTTTCATTGCTGTCTCAAGGTATGCCAGTGCAACTCCTATGCCACATTCTGTTCTTAGCCGAGGAGTTGGTTGGCAGGTAAGGGACTTATTAGCCATTACATATCCAAAAATTAATTAAAACTGTATTTAGATTCACCAGGTTTAATTTAGTCTTGTTTTTCTTCGCCTAGGGTGTTGGTATATTGTTCTGTGGAATATTTGGAACTGGAATTGGATCTTCAGTGGCTGTGTAAGATCATTTTCTAACTGGTTTGTGAGAATGCTCATAGTATTGGGCACAATCAGAAAAGACTTCACTCACTACTAGGAACTAAGGACTTATTTATTAGTAGATGATCTGATTCTCTCTGTAAACAGAGAAAATGCTGGTTTGCTGGCGCTAACACATGTTGGAAGCCGGAGAGTAGTGCAAATCTCAGCCGGTTTCATGATATTTTTCTCGATACTAGGTAATTAAAATAATTACATGAAGTTTTATGTGATACATTCATTAATAACTATGTAGTTTCTTCTGTAGAATCATTGCAGATTTGGTTTGTTTAATACTTAACTTTGTACTTTCAGGCAAATTTGGAGGTCTCTTTGCTTCAATTCCATCCCCAATTGTTGCAGCTATGTATTGCCTGTTATTTGCGTATGTCGGTATGTAAAATCACATTATGTTGCAGCCTTCTACAATAATGAGCCAGTCCTAATAGGAGGTTATTGTCCTGGAAGGACCAAGTGGAGCGTCCACCCCCCATTCCCCATCTGTTACTCTGTTTCCTCCCC